TTAGGGCGCTACAGAGTTGCAATCTCATGGGGAAGATTTCATTCTGATGAAATATTTAATGGGAGGTGTTTGCCTGTTAAAATCACTGCCACCTCCTTGGGGACAGGTCTCCTTTGTACAGTGCTACCCTGGTTCACGAACTTAATTTGTTTCACAATTCTGGGCTGTATGGCCATAGCCATGCCATATTCATGTTTGTGCAGGAAAGATGGCCACAGTTGTGTTTGTCACCTGATGCAGAGTTCATAAACAAAAACAAAATTTTGCCAAATTTGTAAGCCAAATTGTTCACAAACAAAAGCTTTCATGATCTGACGTACCATTGTGTTGTTTCCAGCTTGCCCATACATTACAGAACTAAGCCCAGCTAGAAATCTCTCCCTAAGGCCATATGGGCTCCAGGGATTCAAAGGGATTGTCCAAGGCACAAAGGAGGTTTCTGGGCTCTGAGCCCACCTCACTTCTTGGAGCCTATGGTGGTATCTTGAGCAGGATCTAGGAAATGGGCTCAGCCCCATGTTTGGAGCAGCTCTTCATTCTGCCTGCTCTCTGAGAGCTGGGGAAAAAAGAGTGTGTGCTTTTTCTCTGCATTAATAAAACCCAAAATGAGTCTTCATTAAGGGCTCCATTAAGAAGCCACTGTTATTCTTGGCACTCATTAGCATTGCTGCTCACCACTAAATTGCCACACTGGCGTTTTCCTGGGGCTTCACAGAGCCCCCTCCTGGTGCTGGAAAGCTTCTCTTAAGATAGATCTGACTTGCTGCATCTCAGGGATGGAGGAAGTAGTTTCCGATGAGTTCATCTCCTCCATTCCCCTGTCCCCACACATTTACATGTCTCCTTTAGCTTTGCAGAGAGCTACAGTGGCTCTCATTAGATTGTTTAAAGACATAGTAGACCCTGCATGGAAGTTCTTCCTCTTGTCTAACTGCCCCATTTGCTGTAGTATAAGCCCACTGGGACCATTCATGATGGTACCAAGGAATATCTCTCTAAGAGCACTTTTTTTTTTTTTTTTTTTTTTTTTTTTTTTTTTTTTTTTTTTCTTTTTTTTTTTTTTTTTTTTTTTTTTTTTTTTTTTTTTTACTTCTGAGTTCTGTCTCTGGATTAAATTTGATAAATGATGAGTCCTGCTGACTTCCTGTATCCTGTGGTCAGATGCAACTCCAGACAAAGGATTTACCTAGGATCAGTTTGTCTCTTAGATCAGTTCCCCTTCCCTATTCATGTCCTCCTCTATCACCTAAAGCCCACCTTCACCCTTGTTTACTCCAGGCCCAAGGACAACTACCAAGCCTTTATTTAGGGCCTGGAGCCACCTGGTCTCCCCCAAAGGAACCAGCTAACCTAAATCAAATATGTGCTATGTAGCAGGAACTGGGCCAGGTCTACTGCATTTAGGCAAATGACACCCCCAACAAATGAGGATTTGGGGTGTGGCTATTGTGTAAATTAAACCAAAACAGTCTCAAAGGGGTTCAGGTCTTTGATAACACAGGTAGTAGAAGGCAAAGCCCATGAGCCCAGGTCTTTAAGAAGTGTGGAGTTCACTAAACCATCCTTGTCTTCTTACCCTTCCAGATAATGACTTCCAACTACAGAAAGGATGCTGTGTGTGAACTACTTCTAATCACTAGCTGATGACATGGCAAAAAAAAAAAAAAAACTAGACTCTTTTTTTCTCACGTGTTAGAATGTTTACATCCAAGTGAGCATTGTTTCTCTCCACATAGTCCACTTGGAAAGCTGGGTCCCAGCTCTCTGTTACACATATTTCTCAAGCGTTCCACAATCTTGTCATGTGAAATGGGACCCAACTGGCTATTTGATGGGGGATTGGGATGGGGATGGGGATGGGAAGATTCAGCACTGGCATTGAGAACTGAAGGACCCATGATCTTTCCTCATGTCTGAAACTACTTTTTGGTCCTGGGGGTTTGGAGTTCCCTTGGCAGAGCTTGGCTCTCTGACCCTGGGCCAGCTGGGGTATCAGTGGTCCATAGATTACCATTTCCCTGCCAGAGACATGACTGGTCTGGCTTTATCTGAATGTTACTCTAAGGAGAACTGCTCTGTCTTCTTCCATGGCAGTGTGAGTGTGGCACAGCTTTTCACGAAGCCATTTTATGTTTTCTTACAGGGGTTTGTTTCTTTGCCTAAGCTGAGCTCTTCCACCCTTGTAATCACTATTAGTCATCTCCTTCCATAAATGGGGTCTTTTGTTTTTTTCAGTATTTTCGTGGGGCCCAGAGAGGGAAGAGGAAAAAAGTTGAAGAGTCACTGTTGGTGATGTCCTGCCTCTCCTCTTGTCTTTGGATCTGGAGAATCTGTGTAACAACCAACTTTGTTGTTCCTTCATCTGCACCACATCTTTGAGCTGTTCAAGTGTCCCCTTTGCAGATTCACATAACTTCAGCTATGTTTGAGTTCATTTTCAGACTTCAGAGATACTCATTTTTTGAGGAACCAACCCAGCACTCACTTCCTGTCTCCACCAGACTGACTGGGGCTGACTAAAATGGAGACAGGAAGTCCATGATGGACTGACGTGGGGGAATCACTGATGTGGCCTGATAGGTGTCAGTCTTTCTTTCTCTGTGTTTTTTTTTGGGGGGGGCTGTGAAGTTGGAGTCATATTAAGTGTGTACAATTTAACAAAGACCCTGAGTTAGATGCTCTGGACTCTGATATTTAAGACAAGCTCAGTGAAAACTAAGAGAAATTGCTTCATCCCTATGAGCTTCAGAACCTATCTTGGGAGGTTCTGAAAACTAAATATGACTCATATGAAGAGTTTTGCTTATGAGTGGTACATTTTAGAGATTCAAAACAAAAGCCAGGTCTGGGGATGTAGCTGAGTGCTTGTCTAGCATGCACGAGGTCCTGGGTTCAATCCCCAGCACTAAAAAAAAAAAAAAAAAAAAAA